GGTTACAGACCTCTTGTCCCAAGCTGCTTTCAGGATCTTCTCTTTTTCTCTGAGACTTGTAAGTTTTACTATTAGATGTCAGGGTGTTGACCTATTTTTTATTGATGTTGAGGGGGGTTCTCTGTGCCTCTTGGATTTTGATGCCTGTTTCCTTTCCCAAATTAGGGAAGTTCTCTGCTATAATTTGCTCCAATATGTGTTCTGCCCCTCTCTGTCTTTCTTCTTCTTGGAATCCCAATTATTCTAACGTTGTTTCGTCTTATGGTATCACTTATCTTTTGAATTCTGCCCTCGTGATCTAGTAGTTGCTTCTCTCTCTTTTTCTCAGCTTCTTTATTCTCCATCATTTGGTCTTCTATATCGCTAATTCTCTCTTCTGTCTCATTTATCCTAGCAGTTAGAGCCTTCATTTATGATTGTATCTCATTAATAGCCTTTTTGATTTCGATTTGGTTAGATTTTAGTTCTTTTATTTCACCAGAAAGGGATTCTCTAGTATCTTCCATGCTTTTTTCAAGCCCAGTTGTATCTTTATAATCGTCATTCTGAACTCTAGTTCCGACATCTTACTAATGTCCATATTGATTAGGTCCCTGGCAGTCGGTACTGCCTCTTGTTCTTTCTTTTTTTGAGGTGAGTTTTTCCATCTTGTCATTTTGTCTAGAGGAGATTAGATGAATGAGAGAATAAAATGCTAAAAGGGTAACAATGACCCCAGAAAAATATACACTAAACAAATCCGAAGAGACCTGAAACCAGGGGGAAAAGAAAGGGAAAGAAAAAAAAGTATGATCAGGCTGGTGAATAGATTAGTGCCAACACTAGATTTTGGGTGTATTTTGGTCACACACACATATATATATATACACACACAAAAATTAAGGTTAACTACAATGAAGGGATGGAATATGACTCTAAGAATGAAACTTAAAAATAGATTTTAGAAAAACGAATTGATAAGATGTTGGTTAAAAGGAAAAAAATTAAAAAAAATAGAAAAAGAAAGAAAATAAAGAAAATTTGAAAAATTAACTTTGAAGGACTAAAGAATCATGGGGGAAAAAGCCATGAATTCTATGTGCTGTATTCCCCTAGTGCTGGAGTTTTGCAATTCTCATTGATCGGTAAACTTGGTCTTGGTTGAACGTTCTTGCTGATCTTCCCGGGGGGGTGGGGTGGGGGGGCTGTTGTCATAATTCTCCAATGTCTTTGCCAGTGGCGGAATTGCCCCTCCCTTGCTGGGGGCTGGGCTAAATAATCTGCTCGGGTTTGCTCTCGGGAGCTTTTGTTCCCTGAAACCTTTCCATACAGCTTTGGAGGATGAGAATGAAAATGGCAGCCTCCCAGTCTCCGCTCTGGAGGAGCTGAGAACTCGGGGCCCCACTCCTCAGTAAGCCCCCAGAGAAAAGCAGTCAATCACTCCTGTCTCCCTGGTCTCCAGTCACACTCCATGCTCGCCCGGCCTGTGACTGAGCGTTTCTATCTCTGGCACATGACCCTGTTTGGAGTCTCCAAACCCAGCAGGTTCCTGTGGTGTGCTCCCAAGCCACTCCTCCCTGGAGAGGAAGGGGAGTCTCCCCGGATCTGCTGCTTGTTGGGTCCCTGCTGGAAGAGTAGTGGCCCGACTATCACCAATCACAGTTTATGGCAACCCCGAGCTGAGAGCCCGTGCCTAGGCTCTGTCTCTGCAGCCAGCTTCTCTGCTCTGATACGCAGGAGCTCTGCCGCACTCAGGCACCCCGGTCTTTCTGTGACCCTGAGGATCCTGAGACCACACTCTCCCAGCGATAGTTCCACCTCCTGCTTAGCCACTGGAGCGATGTCCCTCAGCAGAGCGGACTTCTAAAAGTTCCAATTTTGTGCTCCACTGCTCTATTACTTGCCGGTAGCCAGCTGACGGAGGCTCCCTCTCCCTCTGGTCTGTCTTCCCGAATATTGCCGCAGATTCACTTCTCCACACGTCCTACCTTCCAGAAAGTGGTTGCTTTTCTGTTCAGAGAGTTGCTGCTATTCTTTTGTTCGATCTCCTGTTGAGTTTGTAGTTGTTCAGAATGGTTTGATACCTATGTAGCTGAATTCCTGGGACCAGACAAAATTTAGTTCTCCTGCTCGTCCGCCATCTTGCTCCTCTCTCATATTTTGCATCTTTTAATTTTGTGTATCTCTCAACTAATTTTTGTACATATAATTGATTTTACTCCTTTTGTGTTTTAATCTTGATCGTGTCTTTGTAATAAATGAATCTATTATCTTTGGTATATGTTTGCTTTTGCCTATGAAAATTTTTGCTTTTGTAATTTCCTTTTAGTTATACCCTCCACTTTTTTTTCCCCCCCATTCAGAGGATTCCCTTTAACATTTCTTGTCAGGCTAGTTTGGTGTGTTGAACTCCTTTAACTTGTCTAGTAAACTCTTTGTCTTTCCTTCTATTCTGAATGATAATCTTGCTTGGGTAGAGTAGTCTTTCTTGAGGCTTTTTTCTTTCAATGCTTTTAATATCAGTGCCTTAAAATCATTCCTTTCTGGCCTTCAAAGTTTCTGCTGAAAAATAAGTTCATAGCCTTATGAGATTTCCCTTGTTTATAACTGTTTTCTCTTGCTCCTTTTAAGATTGTCTCTTTATCATTTGCCATTTTAATTATTTTGTGTCTCGTGGACCTCCCTGGGTTCATCTTGTTAGGGGTTCTCTGTGCTTCCTGGGTCTGGATGTCTGGTTTCTTCCCCATATTAGGGAAGTTTTCAGCTATTACTTTTTTAAATAAGTTTTTTTGCCCCCCTCTCTCTTAGCCTTCTGGTATGGTATCCCTAATAATGTGAATGCGCTTAACGCTTGAAGATGTTGCTGAGTTCCTTCAACTTATTCTCATTTTTTAAATTCTTTTTTCTTTTTGCTGTTCAGCTTGTTTGCTTTTCTTTACCCTTTCAGATTGCTAATCTGTCCTGCATCCTCTAATCTGTTGATTCCTTCTAGTGTTTTTTCATTTTAGTTATATTCTTCAACTTTGACTGGTTCTTTTGAATATTTACTAGCTCTTTGTGAAGTTTTTCCTGCATTCATTCACTCTTTTCTCAAGTCTGATGAGTAGCTTTATCACCATTACTTTGAACTCTTTATCAGGAATATTGCTTATCTCAGTTTCATTTAGCTCTTTTTCTGTGATTTTTGTCTTATTCTTTCATTTGGGACATAGTCCTCTATCCCCTCATTTTGTTTAACTCTGTTTTTTATCTATGTTTTAGGTAAATCAGCTACATCTTCTGGTCTTGAAAGTAGTTGCCTTGTGTATAAGAGGGTCTACACCAACATTTGTTGTTTCTTGTGTTTTTAATGGTGGCCTTTCTAATAGGCATGAGGGATATCTCATGGTTTTAATTTGCGTTTCCCCATTAGCCTGTAACTGAAATTTAGCATTTCTCTTATTATGAACATAGGAAATAATCACTGGCATCAGTAATACCAATGATTTTAGCATCCATGGAAATCACTGATATTGTTATATACCAATAGTGATCATAAGTATCTCAAAATACATTGTGTTCTTTCGTACTTTAAAACTTTGTTACTTATTAGACTTCAGGCTTAGCTTTGTTAATGTATTTATAAGGATGCATATATGTTACTATATCACAAGTTTGTTTTTTAAATACTGGATGAATGTTTTTCAGTTTTTTGGAGGGAGGGGTAATCCTGTGTGTTTTAAGTCCTGCATTTAAAAACATTCTATGAAGAGATACATAGTCTTCATCTACCAGAGTGATTCATAACATGCCACAAAAACACCACTGAAATGTTCATATATGAAGGGAAAGAGAAAAGCTAGAGAGGAGATGCTGTATGAAATGAGAACAATTTTTTTTTTTTTTTACATGGGAGTAACTGAAGTATATTTCTGCTGCTGAGAGAGGGAAGTTAAAGCTGTTAGAGAAGGGGGTGGTAACGAGATCCTGGCCCATGAGAGCTGTGTGAGGAGAGGCGATGATCCAGAGCACAGGTGGCGGGATTAGGTTTGGATAAGAGCAGAAGGTAAAGGCATTTCATCTTGAGTTCTGAGCAATGAATGGGAGCAGGTGGAGGCCAGGTCGGGTCAGGAAGCTGAGTAAATCCTATTTTATAACATTCTTTACTTCCTTTATGGGCAGGAGTCTAGGTCACCTGCTGAGTAAAGTGGTGGAGGAAGGGGCTTGAGGAGCATAGGGAATTTTTTAACAAAGAATTGTTGAGTATGTCTTGAAGTTTAGACAGTATGCTAAAACTTGGGATAGGACGGTAAATAAGATGGTCCTCTTCCCAAAGTAACTATGCCTCTTGGTGAAGAACACAGACATATAAATAAATTAACACATAAAAAGGAGCAGTGCAGTTAGTCTGAGGTTGGAGGGCTGGAGGAGGAGGTTAGGGAAGGTGGCATTTGAACAGATTCAATTTTATTGAGTATAAGATTGCCAGGGAGAAAGGAGAGCATTTGCAATGGCATGGATGTATGGACAAGCAGGGCTAATTAAAAAAAAATTATGGAGCTATAAATATTCATTTATCAAAATGCATAAATCGCAGGTACATAGCTTCATGAATTTTCACAAAGTGAACACTCCCACATAACGAGCACATAGGTCAAGCAACATCACCACTGACATCACCAGGTGGGGCTAATTTGAAACTGAGCATTTGGGAGAGGAGGCTGGAGGGACGGGCAGGCAGGGTCTTACTGTTTTGGGTTGGGGAGCAGGGTGGGGCGGGAAGATGTGGGATGTGAAGATGGACATGGCATGGCTTTTGCCTTTATGGTCAAGGAGTGGTCATGTTTCTGCCTGTTCTGCAACGTGACTGGCACTTTGTAAAGTTTAGGTTAAGTTACTGTGTTTATCTTGTTTATTTAGAAGAGAGAACTTTCTTACCAAATGATTATGTTATTGTATACATCATGTAAGATTTTGGAGGGGTGGTTTAAAAGCCTCATTTGAAAGTTAATTTGTTTTCTCTACTTTCTCTTTTTACTCAGGGATATTATGTGTACCGTGACATGCTAGGAGAAAAAGGAGATTTCATTACTTCACCGGAAATAAGTCAGATCTTTGGGGAGGTAATATTAAATGTAAACTGTAAATGAAAGCAGATCAAGTTGTATTCTTCTGTAATACAGCGTTTTACAGCTTTGTCTTTGTGATTCAGGTTTTCTTTCTTTTTTCTTTTTTTTAGTTTTCATTTTTAATCATGCTGAAGGAATAGAGAGCAATGGAGGAAAGAGAGAGATAAGAGAGAAAAGATGCAAAACACTAAGGCGTTAGCGGGGAGAGACACACTTTACAGCCCCTGCCCAAGATTGCACCATAGTTAGAAGTCCCCCTGGGAGAAATTCTGAATAATTCTTAGGAATTCTAGTTTGTTGATTTCCGCATAAAAACCCCTTGATAAATTTAGATATAGGAAATAGTACACAAAAGGAAGTAGAATCTAGGTATTAAAAAATGTTAATTATGCCTAAAAAGCCACATAATTATTGAACTCATATGAACATGAAGAAGTGGCATAATCTATTCCATGTGTTTCTTTGCCTTCAAAGACTGGCAGCTTCCTGTGAGTGAGATCCTCCTACCTGTGTTAGGAGACCTCTTACAGGGGGACTGCCTTTTAACTGTTTCCTCCTGTTACTAAGCTTTCTAAGTGGTGTCTTTTGTAATGTAGTCTCTGTGACGCTCCTGGGTGTGCATACATACATGTACATATTAAGTAACATACATACATACATTGTTTGCAAACATTTTGCTTTCTGGCATAAAGTATGTATTTATGTTGAGTTTTATATTGTATACTTTTATATTTTATAATACTTCAGGGTAGTTTTTTTCCTTGTTACAGCTGCTAGGTATATGGTTCATTAGTGAATGGATGGCTACTGGGAAAAATGCAGCTTTCCAACTGGTGGAACTGGGCCCAGGCAGGGGTACCCTCGCAGGAGATATTTTGAGGGTAGGTAATAAAAGAATGGCTTTAGATTCTCATGTACTCACCTGAATCTTTGTTCTTTTGACTTGTTTGCAAACTCCATTGATTTCCTTGGCTTTTGGTCCTGCCTCAACAACCTCTTTCTCAGCTGAAGTACAATGTCAGAATAATACAGTGAGTTGTCACTTGTTGTTGTCTGTTTGTAATCTAAAAAATGAGGGTGGGAGAGAATGTGAATGGTAAAAGTTTAGAACATTTAGAAGACATTATGGAGAGTATATTTATCTTCTAGGTAGGAAAAGAGTTTTTGAATTATATAAAAAGCAGAAGCCATAAAGGAGAAGATGAATAGAAGGATAATTTCAACTACATTAAAGAATTTTTTTAAGATTTTATTTATTTGTCAGAGAGCACAAGCAGGGGGTGCAGCAGGCAGAGGGAGAAGCAGGCTCTCCGCTGAGCAAGGAGCTCGATGTGGGGCTCGATCCCAGGACCCTGGGATCATGACCTGAGCTGAAGGCAGACGCTTAACCACTGAGCCACCCAGGTGTCCCAAGTTTTTTGTTCTTTAAAGAAATTAGGAACTTCTGTTCTTCAGAGACACTGTAAAGAGAGGAACAAGACAAGCCACAGAGTGGGAGGAGTTATTTGCAACACATATAACCAACAAAGAACTGGTAGTTAGAATAAAGAATTCCTTTCAATTGTTAGGTGGTGGCATATAACTCAGTAGAAAAGTCAGGCTAAAGATGTGAACAGGCCCACCATGAAAGAGGAAATCTACATGGTCATGAAAAACCAAAAAAATGCTCAGACTGGTTGGGAGTCAAGGAAATGAAAGATAAAATCACAGTGAGATACTACTATACCCTCAAAATGTGAAGATTTGGCAGCACCAAGGGTTGGTGAGGATGGGGAGATGTGGCACACTGGGGACTCTCATAGACTGTAAGCGTGTAATTTGGCGTAAGCACTTTGAAGTGCTTATTGGGCATCATCTGCCAACGTCAAAGTTCTTATACTGTATGACCCAGCAGTTTTACTGCTAGGTGTATGCCCTATGGGAATGAGTGCATATCTGTACCAGGATACATGTACAAGAAGACAGCATTGTTTAGAATAGCCAAAAAACTGGAAACAACCCAGACGACTGTCAGTGGGAAAATAAATCAATAAATTGTGGTACAGTCATACAGTGGAATGGCAAGCGTCATGCAGATGCATGAAATCACAGCAGAATGCACGATATTCAGATGAAACTCAGCAGATGTTGAGTGAAAACAGCAATTTGTACAAGAATTCATATCCTATGATTGTATTATATAAAATCCCCAAATAGCATTAGACAATATGTGTTTGGTGATACAAACATGTTCAGTAACATTTATAAAGAAAAAGTGGGAAATTATAAATTCCAGATTGAGAACGGTGGTGACCTTTGATGGTGAGGGAGGACATGGGGGCTTCAATGGGAAGGGTCAGGTCACTCTCCTTTAATCAGAGATAGTTGGTATTTTTCCATGTATTGTTCTTTCTTCCATTCTACCTAAGATTTTCTAAAAACATTAAAAAGGAGGAATGTTTGAAGTACATGATAAGTACTTGTATTAAACTTTTGTTGTTAAACTGTTTTGGAATCCATTGGTCTTTTTTAGTTTATCGTAAGTGTATAAAATAAAACACATATTCAGTATACATTTAAATGTCTTGATGCTGTATGATTTTTGCTTGAAATTAGGAATCGAAGGCTTTTAATTTATAAATCTGACAACCTCGATTATATCATATTTGGGAGGTAAAAGAAACCAACCACTGATTTAGGTTTCCGGGGCTCTATTTTATATCTCTTTAAATTGGCAAAGTCATTTGAATATAAAATATTTGATAAGGTTCTCAAATAATACCACCTTGTTTCAAGTACTTTAAAAATCAAGCCCACAGGGGCGCCTGGGTGGCTCAGTCGTTAAGCGTCTGCCTTCGGCTCAGGTCATGATCTCAGGGTCCTGGGATCGAGCCCCGCATCGGGCTCCTGCTCGGCGGGAAGCCTGCTTCTCCCTCTCCCACTCCCCCTGCTTGTGTTCCCTCTCTCGCTGTGTCTCTCTCTGTCAAATAAATAAAATCTTTAAAAAATAAATAAATAAATAAATAAATAAAAATCAAGCCCACAGCTCTTAAAATGTATAAAGGATGCTTCCCTAGATCCAGTCCTAAGAACCTTAAAAAGCCAAAGAATTTAGAGGAATGTTAAGAAAATAGACAAAGACATATTTGCAAACTTGTTTTCATTTCTTGATCATAATTTCTGAAGGATTTTTCTCTTGGGAAGTTTTTCTATTTGTAGTTTAATTTCAAAACAAAATTTGGAAAAATCATCTTGTCCTTATTATCAGCCTATACCAGCATATTCGGATCTCCAAAGCGGGAGGCAAATCACCAATGAAAATTAAATTCAGATGACAAATACTATTGATGTACTTTATGCTTTGGCATTGAATTTTGAGCATTAAAATATTGATAAAGTATTAGTATATTCCTTTTTTCCTCATGTTTACAACAGTTATAAAAATGTGTGTGGCTAAGAAAAAATTAAAAATGTGAAAGAATTACCAAGTTAAACTGTCAAGTTTTTAGAGCCACTTGAATTTTATTTCCTGAGGATACAGTTTAAACATCTCAAAGATGAGATTATTTCATAGACATAGCAGCTTTATAAAATCAAGGGTATATATACAACTTATTTTCTTGTTCTCTTTTCAGATCCCTTAATCTGCTTATTTATTGGATGTTAAACTTTAATTTTCTTTTATTAGTCAATCTAATTTTTATCATTAGGAAACCAAATTGTGTACTGTTCACCTCTTATGTGGACAATGTATGATAATGGATAGGTTATGATTCTCATAGACTGCTGGAGAGTGGTTTGTGTGAAGAACAAATTCCTCCAAAACCAAATGTTATTCCTGTAACATGAGCAAATTAAGGTAAATGGTTAGAAAAACCCCAAATCTACTCAACACTTGTATTTTTCCCTTTTTTTGTCTTTAGGTGTTCAGTCAGCTTGGATCTGTGCTAAAAAACTGTGATATTTCAATACATCTGGTAGAGGTGAGCAGAAAATTGAGTGAGATTCAAGCATTAACCCTGACTGAAGAGAAGATCCCACTAGAGCGAAATGCTGGATCCCCTGTATATATGAAAGGTGTTACAAAATCTGGGATTCCAATCTCGTGGTACCGAGATCTGCATGATGTTCCAAAAGGTAATTCTTTTACACGACGTAATGAAATCATTTTGATCGCATCCCATCCCAGCAATGATAGGTGACCAGAGCCACGGAGGACACGCTAATAGATTGAGTTAGTGCTGCCAGGTCCCTTACTCATAGGGAAGAGCGAATCCTTTTCTCGAAAAGAGCATTGTATTAGAAAATAACATGGCTAACAATAGGAGCAATGAATTTCCTGTGGTTTTGCAAAAATGACAGTGTCGATCTCTGTTGTACCTTTTAGTTTTTCCTGACCCCTAAGAAAGTACTGATGCTGAAGCAGCCCCAGGCAGTGGGGCCTGACAGAAGCAGTGTTAAGTGGGTTTAGTTTAACTGTCTCATCTTTTGAACATTCTTGCTGGCCTTTTGGGGGGATGGAAAATCCCTGCACCGGACAGGGGTCCTGTGTTGATGAGTCCCTGCTCACACCTGCAGGGGTGCTCTGCTCTCGGGGAAGCCACTTCAGCCAGCCCTGGGCTCAGCTGTCTCAGAGGATTTTAGCAAGTTCAAGGCCTCTTTGAGCTAACCAATTTGAGTTCTCATTTCTTTCATGCCTGGTGAGGGATAAAATTTTAAACTGATAGTTGAGACAGCCTACCTGTCTGATCCTGCTGTGTGGGAAATAAGAACAGTAACGTTCTTTTGTCTGTTCTGCAGAGTAGGTGAAGATGTGAATGAGGTGGATGATTCTCTGTAGAGATGGCTGTGCAAGCACCACGGGTTCCTACACAAAGAACCAGGCATTTTCTTTTTGTTAGTGTTCAAAAGAATGAATCAATATTGCCTTAAAAATGCTGAAACAGTTTTTTTCTTCTGTTTTTAAATAGGACACAGCTTTTATCTAGCACATGAATTTTTTGATGTCCTTCCTGTGCATAAGTTTCAGGTATTGATGGGATAAAGTCATTAATTGAATAACAAAGGGCCTTATGTTGTAAGAAAAAACATTTATGGTTGTTGAAGTTATTGTTGAAGTTAACTACATTTGGAATTCTGATGAATAGAAATAATTGAAAAGCAAAAGTGAAGTATTAAGTAGAACCTTCATTCTCTTAGGATAACTAGTAAGAATGCTTAATTCTCCAGGGATAAATATGTGCGCAGATATAAGATGGTAAATGGCTAAAGTACAAGGAAGGGTTACATTTTAGCAAATAGTTTTAAAATCCAAAGATTAAAATGTTTCCTCACTGAAGTTGAAGTGAGCAGATTTAAAATTTGGTGGTAATGTATGTGCACCGTAGTGTCTGAGGCTAAGAGCATGTATTGATTTGTTAGCAGAAGCTTCCAATTCATCCTTCACAGTCTGTTCTCCATTATTGGGAGCACTTGCCACACGCTTATTTTATCCCTACGGCTCTGCCTCTTATCCAGCCAACACCAGTAGTTTGCGCCTTCAAGTATTGCCTTGAAATAATTTTTAGTAGTAAAGTACTCTGTAAATGTTAGTCATCTGTCATACATGGTAGGGGGAGAAAAATGGTTATTTTTAGTTAGAGGCAATTCTGAGAAAAAAAAAACTGGTAAAAATTTGTTTTTATGCATTATTTTGTGTTTAGAAAACCCCACAAGGATGGCGAGAAGTATTCATTGATATCGATCCACAAGTTTCTGATAAGCTGCGGTTTGTTTTGGCACCTTGTGTCACACCAGCAGAAGTCTTCATACAAGTAGGAAGTTTTTTCTTCTTAGTTTATTGCCAACCAAATCTTCATAGTCTTATTTTCTGAGTTCCTGTTTTAGCGTTCCTTGACAGGGGCAAGGGGAGAGTTGCTCATAACATGTGAGGTGCTTTTTATTAATAGTGAAAAGTGCAGAGGATCTCGAATCAGGAGCCTGGTTCAGATCATCTCTGGACTGCGTGACCTGAATGTAATGTGAGAAGGAAGTTAGTAAGCGCTTACTCAAGCAAGTCCCTTACCTTCTCCCTTTCCCTCAGTTCCCTGTGACACAGTCAGAGTATTGTCTACCTGACCGGAAGAGCTTGAAGTCTGTGAAAACAACTATTTATTGAGCACTTTGTATGTATTACTCTGAATTTTCTCATTTAATTCTCAAAACAATTTTATTAGTTTGATTAAGTTTGATTCTAGACTGCCAGAATGGTACATTTACTGCTGCTTTCTATTGACCTCAAGGAATAATCATAAGAGCCTTTCTATCTTGGGGTCATGTTAAGGGGTTCAAAAAACCCTATACTTGTCAGGAATGTTTGGGCTTTAGATTGCCTGTTTTATTTATTTTTATTTTTTAAAATCTTTTAAATGGTGATAATTTTTAATAGCTTACAGCTATAGTATCAAGTCTTATATGTATAAATATAGTTACAGACAATAAATATCCATATGGCAAAATATCTACCTCTAGACAGAGAAAAAATATCTTTGCAACTAAATTAACAGCTTCAAGTAATAATGAAGAAAAACAGAAGCTGCAGTAATTTTTCATCTAAAGTGACTATAGCCCATATTAGGGGCACTTGGGTGGCTCAGTCAGTTAAGCATCTGCCTTTGGCTCAGGTCATGATCCAGGACTTGGGATTGAGCCCCGCATCGGGCTCCCTGCTCAGCTGGAAGTCTGTTTCTCCCTCTCCCCTCTCCTCCCCCTACTCATGTTCTCTTCCCTCAAATAAATAAAATCTTAAAAAAAAATGTGACAATAGCCTGTATTAAAACATTCTTACTGTAAGAGTTCAAATAGTTATGAAAGCCTTGTCTCATAACCTAAAAATATAACTTTAACTAATACATATTTTCAAAACTAACAAAAAATATTTTAAATATAGATAGGTAAAATAAATACGATTATTCTTGCCAAAATTCAGTCATGACATTATATATATATTTGGGGACTTTGTTGATAGCCTGGCCTTTTAACAATAAAAAAGTGAAATTCATGAAACCTTTCTAAGAATCTACATATTACTCTAATGCAAATTACATATAAGTATATGGGGTTTTCATTCTGAATGAGCAATCCATTCTTTTTTAAAAAAAGTATATCCCAACTATGTAAAACATGCTTAATTTCTCTTGAAAGATCACTTTTTATAAGATATACACTGACTAGTATGAGAAAGGGCATTTTACAGATTTTAGAAACTTCTTTAGATGCGGTGACTGGGCAGCTCAGTTGGTTAAGCATCTGACTTTTAATTTTGGCTCAGGTCATGATCTCAGGGTTGTGAGACTGAGCCCAGCATCAGGCTCATGCACTGGCGTGGAGTCTCCTTAAGATTCTGTATCCTTGCTCCACCCCCCCGCCCCTCCCACCCTGCTCTCTTTAAAAAAAAGAAAAAAAAACCCATTCATTTTCTTATCAAGTTACTTTATTTGTTTTACTAAGCTTTAATTACAGCGGTAAATCACTTTTTTCCCATTATTTCTCATTATACAAAATCCCCATGCTTCTTATGTTTTAACATTCTACCTGCAAGAATCTTACTGGACCTGAATAACCTCTGTATGACCTACAGGAACATAATTCAGTGAAGGTCATCCGAACAGAATAGATTGCCTGTTTTAAAAAGGTCTACTTTCTGGACCATAACTAAGAACTTCTTCCTCAGAAGTTATTCGCTTCAAAAGCACTGGAGCTTTTTTTTTTTTTAAAGATTTTATTTATTTGTCAGAGAAAGAGAGGCAGGCAGAGGAAAATGTAGTCTCCCCACTGAGCAAGAAGCCTGTTTTGGGACTCAATCTCAGGACCCTGGGGATCATGCTCAGGTAGCCGCTTAACAGACTGAGCCACCCAGGCGCCCCAGCATAGGAGCTTTTAAAAATAAACCTGTCAATTAAGTTTTTTTTGCAGAGCATAAGTTAAAAATATCAGTCTGAGTACTTGTGAGCATTTCTATTTTTTCATATTCTGGCTACCCAGTTTTACCTGAATGACAAGCAAATTCATAGCTACCAAGAGCTGACTCCTTGGCCCTGGGAGATGTGATTGTTTTTAGTTCTTGACTTCGGTAGTACTCACTTATGAAAGAGAGAGTGATGATTTTCCCTCTCATTTGGATGGGGCGAGTGGTAACAGAATCTGCCATCTTGAAGAGTGGTCTAAGATGGTAAGAAAGTCAGCACCATATGCTGGGGTATGTCAGCTTATGCCTGAAGTGGCTAACCTCATGATTTTTACAGCTCAGCCACAGTAATTTATTTAATAGAACTGGGGGCTAAGTAGTTTATTGTTTGATTTAATCTTCCCAATAAGCCTAGTAGATACAGAATGAGGAAACGCTCTGAGTTTAACTTGTTTCTAGTTTTAAGTAGTAGGAAGAGCAGAGGCTCAAGAGCTAAGAGTGTGTGACTCCATACCTCTTAGGTCTGTGCCATTATAGGCAAGGTCAGGGCAGGTTACTTCTTCTATTTTTTTTTTTATTAAAGATTTATTTATTTTAGAGAGCACATGAGCCTGTGCGAGTGGGGGGGGAGGGGAAGGAGGAGAGAGGGAATCCTCAAGCCAACTCCCTGCTGAGCCGGGAGCCCGACGGAGGGCTCCATCCCAGGACCCTGAGATCATGACCTGAGCCGAAGGCAGACACTTAACCGACTGAGTCACCCAGGCGTCCCAGTACTTCATTTTTAATAGGAAGGAGCAAAAGGTACTGTTAGGAAGGAGCAAAAGGTACTGTATATTTTCATAATGAAGAAAAAAGTTTTTTCCCATTTTCTCAGAGATTAGGAAATTTCCTATGTACCAGTCAATTGACAAGTTATAATACTGTCATTTCACTTTTTAGATTAATAGGCACTTAACTGAGGACCCTTTTATAAATAGTTGAACACCTTGGAAAATTAGGGCCTCAGGTACATTGCAAGTTTATAAGCTGAGGTTTCTAAATAGAGGGTGTATCACTGGAATACCTTTTGCCCCAGCAGAAGGTATCATAATATACTTGCTTGCTAGGGTCTGTTATATTGGGTTTTGTATCATTTGCTCTTCCAGCACAAATTTTTGAGTGTTATTTGCCAGGCACTGTTCTAGGCAGACAAAAATTCCTTTCCCACACATTTAACCCAGGGAAATTATTTATATGAATTATGAGAGTAATATCACTATAAATAAAATGATAATGTTGGTCATCTAGGAGTTTGGGAGAGCATATGCCTTTTTATAAAAGGGATTAAAATTAAAATGTCTGTAAACATAGTAAATGGCATCAAAGCAGTAGGTAATTCTGTGTAATAAACAGGATGTCCTGTGAAAGGTTGAGCGTAGACAACATAATACACATTGCGAGGGAATTTATTTTTATTGTAACTAAGAAATGCTCATTGTAGAAAAACCCTAAGGAAACTGTTCTTTTCAGTGCTGCACTTTGATTCACCTGTTCCCTTACTAGCGTGATGAAATGAGGGACCACGTGGAAGTGTGTCCTGAGGCTGGCATTATCGTTCAGGAGCTTTCTCAGCGCATCGCGCTAACTGGAGGGGCTGCACTAATTGCCGATTATGGTCATGACGGAACGAAGACAGATACCTTCAGAGTATGTATGACTCAGTAACATGACTTACCATAAGTTCATTGGTATCATCTACTAAGTTGTTAGGTTTGAAGCTAATTGAAGATCTTTACCTTTGGTTTCTATAGTGCCTAGCCTTCTAATTTTACATTATTTGTAATGAATATTAATTCATATTATTATAATTGCCCTAAACCATAGGATCTCACTGTCCAGAGTGGGCTTGGAGCAGGGTCTGAGTCGTCTGTTCTTCAGCTGCGGAACCTAGGTCTGCATAGATCCTACTTAGCATCCAAATCATACATATGGAAGATTTGCAGATTTGATCTAGCTACTATGATCAGACTTTTCCTATCATATTTTCAATCTTTTTTCCTTTCTAGAATTATTCTTTAATTCTTCCTAAGCATCCTTTTTTTTTAATTTTTTAGAAGATTTTATTTATTTGACAGAGAGAGTGAGAGCAGGAACACAAGCAGGGGGAGTGGGAGAGGGAGAAGCAGGCTTCCTGCCTAGCAGGGAGCCCGATGTGGGGCTCGATCCCAGGACCCTGGGGTCATGACCTGAGCCGAAGGCAGACGCTTAACGACTGAGCCACCCAGGCACCCCACATCCTTTGTTCTTTATCAATTGTGTTCAATATACTTTAATTGGAATACATTTAACTATATACTACTATTAGTCATTTTCTAGATCTGTGGTTCTCAATTTCTGATTTTATTGTAACTAAAGAAAAAAAACCCTGGAGTTTTTTTAAAAAAGGCTGATTCCCTAGTTTTACCTCCAGGATTCTGATTCAGTAGGTCTGGGCAGAGCGCAGTAACATGGTCTCAGGTGATTCTGATGCACGTAGTTGATGGATACACCTTGTCAAACACCATCTAGAGTCTGGTGAAAATTTAGCTTGATTCTAGTAAGAAACAAGTTAACTTACATGGAGAACTGATGGGATCTCCGATGGGATCTCTACTTCATCACCACGAGCAGTAATGAAATGTGAAAGGCAGCCATTTTCAGGCACTCCAGTGTCACCCTTTATATTGGATTTTCCACATAGCATCTCATTTGAGGGAAGGGTGCTACTATATATAAAGAGTTTGTAAACCACTGACTTAGGCTATGTTTTTCTTTCTAAGAGTTATGTAAAATGTACTAAAATGATAGCATTTCTTTAATCTTGATAATGATAACCACAAAGGGACAAAAACTCATCATTTTAAAAATTACAAATTATGTTTAAGGGGTTTTGTGGCCACAAGCTCCATGACGTCCTGACTGCCCCAGGAACAGCGGACCTCACAGCCGATGTGGACTTCAGTTATCTGCGCAGAATGGCAGAGGGACAAGTAGCTTCTCTGGGGCCAATAAAACAACAGATGTTTTTAAAAAATATGGGCATTGATGTCCGGCTGAAGGTAATGATTTGTTTCACGATCATTAAATATTTTAATTTTGTAGTATTTCACAAAAATGTTTCAAATAATACATCCCCCGCCCCGGGGCCTCAGTGCTCTTCTCGGTCAGCAGGCCCTGGGTATTGTAGTCTTTCTAGTAGCATAGGGCCTGGTGCAGCTGGGCTGCCTGGGGTGGGGCTGCCGTGCATGCCCCTGCATCTCCACACAAGCCAGAATGAAGACTTTTGAATAGTGTTCATATCCAGTAAGAAAACTTGACTGTGTTTATGGGGATGAATTTTAGAAGTGTCCTGAAAACATCTTAACCCTTCAGTGTAGATCAAACCACCTGGGAATATTTGTTAAACATACAAATCCACAGGTTTGGGTCTTAACAAGTTATGTTTTTAATAAGCACCCCATGATTCTGAGGCAGGTGATGAGAAATCCCATCTGAAGCCCGCTTTGCTGAGTAGCCAATGGTCATTAGCATTGCTGCATGTAACTAGGAATCCTTTTTACTTTCCTTTTCAGGTTCTTTTAGACAAATCAGATGAGCCAGCCAGGCAGCAGTTACTTCAGGGATATGATATGTTGATGAATCCTAAGAAGATGGGAGAAAGATTTAACTTTTTTGCCTTGCTACCTCATCAGAGACTTCATGGTAGAAGCCATCCAATGAATGCATGTCAGTCAAAACCCTCTGTGTCACCTGTGGCTGGGTTTGGTGAACTTGCCTGGCGGTGATCTCAGTGTGGACGTTTTATCCCTAAGTCTGCCTAAGAAAGCAAAATAAAGGGAACATGTTTCATATATCACAGGTAAAATAAGTATTACAATATTTTGTCTTTATAGCCAATAAAAATAGCCCATCTTACATACAGTACAACTAAATATTGATCTTTTAAGGTTGTGTCTGGCTTTTGGCACAATTGTGTGCTTTCAGCTTAATGAAACAAGTTACTGAGAAACTGAGTGTCCTTTAATAAGGCTAGTTGCTGTATTTTTATTTTAAAAAGTAAACATGAACACTGGTTTAGCAAAAACCAGAAACCTAACTGGCCTTTCACAGAGAATGGATTAAATAGAACAATCCACATATTTTTAAAAAATGAGGTAGAGCAATATTTTCTGACCCATCTCTAAGAATGTGGTAAGTGAAAAAAGTATAGTGGAGAATGTTTTATAGTTATGATTCCATTTTTCTTGGGGGAAAAGCTACATTTAAAGAAATGCTTGTAACTAATTTCATAGAAATTAATGTATTAGTGCAGACTGGTTGTTTTCTGTGATAGTTACTTGTTTATAAAAAGTAAGGAAAGGATGCCCAGTAATCACTATTAAATATCCCAATGTGGAAGTGGGCTTAAAGGGTGGAAATCGTTCTCCTTTGTGGTAAATATTTACCCTCTGCTTCTGTGAATTTTATAATTAAAAAAAATTAGGGGTGCCCTGGTGGCTCAGTCTGAGGAGTGTCTGACTCTTGATTTCAACTCAGGTCATGGCCTTGGGGGTTGTGGGATCTCGAGTCCCACGTCAGGCTCCGTACTCAGCGTGGAGTTTGCTTGGGATTCTCCCTCTCCGTCTCTCAAAATAAATAAATAAAATCTTAAAAAAAAGTTTAAGTCCCAGTAAAACTAGTAAAAACCTAACATGTACCTGAAATATGAGAGTAAATGTAGACTACGTAGCAGGAATATTTTCTGATTTGAGCTAATTCTCCCTCATTTTCAGATAAATGTCAAGTTTTCATTCTCTTAAGTTCTCATTTTTTGGCTCATAGAACATTTATATTAATACCAGATACATACTTTCTGAGGAATTGTTATATTGGCAACAAAAATTTACAGTGAGATTAAAGGAAAAGAATATTAGACGTATGTTTTGAACTTATAGCTTAACTATATTGGAAGTTCACTGGCAGAGTGATCAACTCTCCATTTTCTATTGCTTGTTTGGCTTAACTCAGAACAGGACTAGCATTCTGTAAATAGGAAGATAGAGGGCTTATTTTTCAGAAGCTGCCCTGCCTTGGGCCATTCGTAGTCACCCTTATTTTTTTCCGTATTTTATTTTTCAAAAACTTGGAGACTTTTTGGAAGATGAAAATGCCCAACATTGGCCCCTCTCAATTATTTAATAGTTTTTATAATTAACGGGAGGAATCAGGCAATGCCTTGTATCTTAAAACCTAGAAAATTTACTTTGAATGGCATTTGGCTTATTTAAGTCTTGTAGCAGTTACAATAGTTGAATAATTTATAGTTACAATTATTCTAAACTTTCATGCCAAGAAATAAGACCTTCAGATAATTACCTCAGATTTCATATAAAATTGAATAATGAGTTGTTTTTTATTTTAGGTAGTTAAAAAAAATCAGTGTTTTAAATATAGCATTAGTTCCATTTACAAATACTATTTCCAAAATAATTCTTTTACCAAGGCCTAGAAAAATAACACAACCAAATAAAATTTTCTTTGGATACCTCTATTAGAGATAGGCTCAGGTTTTCACATGGAAAAGTATGGTGATATGGAAATACATTTTATTATCAAGCTTTTTGAGGATATTTACAAAAAAGTGGGATGTAACAAAAAAATATAAAAATGTACGGAACAGTGTCATTATAGACTACTTTGTACATTATCCAATGTTTCTAACAATTATTTCTTATACAAAAACGACTTCAAGACCAAAAAAAAGGTTATGCAGGTTATACAGTATCTGGAGTATATGACTCCACTCCAAATTATCTGACAGTGCCTTTACAAATTTTTTTAGAAAACTTCTTAGGCATTCAACAACACAAACAAAAAGAGTGCAATTAATTGCATGGCTTGTAAAGTTTGATTATGTAAGTATAGCAAACATCGTTCCAGTTAATTTTCACCTTACGCAGTAAAACCATAATAGGGTGCCTCAGGACTCAGAATTACTCCATTTTAGCACGCTGGTATAAACAGACTTACTTTGGACAAATGTGGGGAAGTCATCCCTAAAAGGTTTTGCAAAATTTGATAAATTTTTAAAATTCGCACAGAATGACCTACTGAGAGACACTGTGTTTCCTGGCGATCTGTACGGGTAGGAAGTGCAGCACAGTGGTTGGGGTGGGGGCAGGGTGTCACCGGGGTTCACCTCCACATACTGTGACCCTCTGCAGCTGGCTAATCTTCCTGATCTGTGAGATGGAGTCCATAATGAACTCACTCTGTGGCTGCTGTGAGGGTAAGTAAGTAAAAGAGCTCAGAACAGAGGAGACTGCATGGGGGCTCCTTTCTCAACAGTACTTTTAGTCCTGAATAATGGAGTAGCTTCAGGGCTCTCTCAAGCCCTCTCCAGGGACATTCTTTTCTTTTGCTACCTCAGACTCAGTGGGGCAATGATAGTTCACACTTTATGGAGTATGAGTATCTTCATACATAGCCCATCTTCACAACAGCATTGTGAGGAAGGCAGAGGCAAGAATTATGGTCATTTTATAGATTGAGGATCTTGAGGCTCAGACAGAGTGGAGCCAAGACTTAAGACTGGATTTTCTGACTCCAAATCTTTTGCTTTTTGGGGGGAAAAAAAAAGTTTACAAGTGATTACTGTGGAATGAAGAAACAAAAAGCCACTAGTTTTTTTAAATAAGTGGGTGGTCCCAGAGCTTAAACTTTTTTTGGGGAGAAAACCATTAGTAACTTTTTAAAAGCTATGAAAAAGTCTAACCTCTTAAACATTATATCTGAGTAGAGAAACACTTCTTTAGTGGGCTGCTGGTGCTGAAATGTTAAAAAAAAAAATTATAAGGGTAGGGCTATGATATCAGCAGAGCAAATGAAAGAATAAAATAAATGTTTCATGCTCCACCCCACCCATCCCCCAAACTGCTTAAAATAATTGATATAAAAACATTCCAGATATCTGTAAAGCCTTCCACTAACCTAAGGGAAGAAAAAAAGGATACACTCTTTGTGGTTCTTCTCCGTAGCATTAATTGATCCTGTACTGGCCTTACTTTTAATAATTTTCTTCCTCCAATTACTGAACTCTGTGTAAAGATAAACTGTGTAATACAAGTTCAGATCTATACTCACTGAACATTGGAAACGTGCGGTGGCATTACAGTGGGAACGTGAGTACACAGCAGAGGGGCTGAGCGAGGGGCAGACCGACCAGCAGGCCCTCCTCCCGGTTCTGTGACACCAACTGCCCCAAATTATCTTAGAGGCCGTTCCAACATACTCACAAAAGGGGACTAAATTTTTATGTTGTAGAGAGCATATTAAGAATGTAGCTCCAAAGGTTAGGGATCATGGTTTTGGACTCTTGACTGACCTAAAAAAAGAAAAAAAAAAAGGTAAAACAGCCTAGCATCTAGGAAACATTTCTAGGCTCCTAGGAAAAACCCCTCGTGCATCTGTGGTTAAACAAATGTTTAGAGTCCTCACAGGAACCCTTGTGCTGGTGGCCCCTCCTCAGTTCTCTCTTAAATGCACACCTGGTTAGAACTCTTACATGATTTGATCAAGATTTGCAATGGCTGGACTCTAAGCTTTCCTTTTTCTCCTTTTTAAAAAATAATGGAACAGGAAAGGGAAGATAAATTAAATGCCACTATAGTACTAAAGTGAAAAATTAGGAAAAAATACAAAAACCAGTCATTGCTATGCTATGAAAAGCTTCATCTTGGTTCCATTGTATATTTTTATTAGTTTCCCCTCTTGTACCTACTCATGAACTACAGTACTGGTGTCACTGATTCCTTATCATATTCCCCATGTCTTTGCACCCTTGCAGATGACAACCTACAAACAACAGTTGTGCAGCAAAATATCAGTCCATAAAATGAAATCCTTCCTTATTGAAGTTAGCTCATTGATAATTAAGGATCTTCTTCCATATCATCTGGGTTGGGAGCCATAATGAAGTGCTTTGGGTACACAAGATTGTGGGTGTATGCATGTATTTCCCAGCGGGCGTCGTCACTTTCATGTGTAATGTAACGTTCACCGATGCGAGTTTCAAATTCTCTAAGGTCAAGCCAAGTCTGATAGTCCTAGGAAAAACATGAAGTAATTTTAAAAGTAAATAGGAAAAACATGAAGTGATTTTAAAAGTAAAAGAAACAAATACTGTGAACTTTTTTTTCTTAGCACCCCAGTCACAAAATTGACAACCCAAACTCCTAAGTACTTGCTATACAGTAAGTTCCATTTGTAACATTTAAATTAGCGATATTAAATACTTTTTCAAATTTAGAATCTCTAGTGAAGTAACTAGTTTCTACAACTAAAAAGAAAAAATTACCTGAGGCTTCTGAGATAGCTAATAATAATCACTAAAACATTCTGTTCTATACTCTGACCTTATACCCACACTTTACTCCTCAAAATAGGGGAAAGTACTTAGAATCTACTACCAGGATAATTTAATAATCATGGAGACTAACTATGATTGCATTTGTTTTGAAGTTAATGCTACCCCCTACTCCCTTTAAAATAGTTCTAAAGCTTCTCTTTACTCTGAAGTTTGGCAGTATCTTTTGACAAATCTACGCAATAGCTTTTGGGGGAATTCAGCCAAACATTTTAAATGGCATTTCTGATCTCATCAATGCAATATGAATCTTCTGGTGGATGTTTTTAAAATAAAATATGTTTGACAAAATAAGATGCTTATCTTACAAAAAGGTGAAATGAAACATAAGGTCATCTAAAAAGGCTAAATCACTGCTTTCAGTTCATGGGAGTTCAATTGCCTATCAGTTCTGCATTTCAGTGGTTTACTGCAAAACCTCCAGAGATGCAGCCACAGGACAAACTAATCACTG